GCGCTTATTCTACTGAGCCATCGCCCCAGCCCCTAAAACTTTTTTTTTTTGGTATTTTTTAATTCTTTAACGAGAATACAAAAATAGTAAAAAATGGAAACAGTACAGAGTTTCACTAAACGAAGTAGTTGGAATTCAACAATGGCTGTTGTATTGTACATTGCTGTCATCAAATTAGTTGTTCAGATTACCAGATATAAGCCTTTAAGTTTGGTTACAATATTATAAAAAAAATGAAGCATTAACTGCTCCTTTTAATAGACCAGCAGAAATCAGCAAATTATCCAAGCTATCAGATGTATACACATATATATTTCTTTTTCCCTTCCCTCTTTTGTTTCTTTCTTCTTTAAAAATAGATAAGTTAAATAGACACCACCAAAGAAATGTATATGGCAAATGAGCACATGAAAACCTGTAAAACATAATTAGTAATTAAAGATAATGGAAGTAATACCTTAATAAAACATCATTAACACCTTTATATGAACTGCTGTTATGGGAGGGAGGTAGAGCAGGAGAAGGGTTCTTTCTACCTGGGCCTGAACACAAAATCCTCATTTAAAGTTTTTTGTTTGGTATGCAATTAAGACTCATAGTGATCCTCCTTTCTCAGCCTCCGTAGCACTGGGATTACAAGCATGCACTACCACACCTGATTTCAGTGGCTAGCATGGCAGGGGGTACGGTGAATTCAACTTGGATCTTGCACTTGCCAGACAGGCATTTAAGCCACCACACTATCTCCCCAGTCCCACAAAATCTTTCCCATGATTCTTAAATAGTGCTGATAGAATTTCATTAACATAATATCATAGACTCTGAGTTTGGAAAATCATCTTGATTTAAATAACTACTTGTTGATAGTGAATTTTTCTTGCTTGAGTCTTATCAACCAGGCATAAAAGGCAAGAAGCAGGTACAAAAAGACACAGTAAAGAAAGCAGGACTAAAGTTAAATGGCTTTTCAAGCACCAGGATGCTAGTCTGTGATGATGGTGGAATCTTGAGCCCAGCTTGCTTGTTTGTTTTCTCTTTCTGTCTGTCTGTCTGTCTGTCTGTCTGTCTTTCTTTATTTGTTTTTTGCAATATTGGGGATTGAACTCAGGACCTTGTACTTGCCAGGCAGGTGCTTATTTTAGTGAGCTATCTCCCTGGCCCCAAGCCCAGGTTTCTGGCTTTAGATGCACCATTCTTTTCTACTTGCAGGACATCTGGTCCAGGAGTTCTTCCATAGTAATGATTAGATTAATGTCTTCAAAATTTCTGTCATAGCCATGTGCTACTTATCACCACCATAAAAAAAAATTGGCTAGTGTTAAAGAGACAAAAACAAAAAACCAACCCAAAAACCATCCTGTCAGGATCAGCAAGATAGCTCAGCGGTCTAAGGTGCCCACTTAGGTACGCTTAGGCAGGCACGGGGGACCACAGTTTGACCCCCAGCACCACATGCTGTACCAGCCCCACCCCCTAAAAAATCCTGACAGCATTAACTTCTATAAATGATTCACAACAAGAACTCATATCACAGGGGATATGCAAAATGATGTGGTCACTTTAGAAAACAGTTTGTACTTGTTAATGTAGCTAAACATATTCTTGCCATTCACCTCAGAAATTTTACTTTTTGGTATTTAACCAAGTAAAAATAAAACTGACATGTACATAAAGATCTGTTTTGGAATGTTTAATAACTTTAATGATAATCTCCAATAACTGCAAATCTACTGAAGAATGGATACACAAACTTTCAAATTGTCAAATAGCCATTCAGTGTAACACTCAGCTATATTAAGGAATTAACTATAAATACATATATACCCAGAGAAACCTTAGTCTTAATAAGGCATCCAAGCAGCCATCAAAGACATTTATATTCTGTTCAAACACTAAGAATGGTTCAGTTAGAACACCCTCAAAGATAGTGATGTGTCATGGGCATTGGTAAAGCAAAAAATCTTAGGCATAATAGATACTGAAAATTTTACTGACACCCATCTCTCTAAGCAGAGACACAAAGAACAATGAAAGCTGGCTATAAACAAGGAGGTCATTATTATTAACATGTACTAGCTGAAGTGGACAAAGATCAAATTAATTTACTAACTATGAACATTCTAAGTGCAACAAAAGACAAGTCAGACAGTGAATCATTGCCAGTGCTGAAAGGTTTCCAAAACTGAAACAAAATGTATGGTATGTGATTTTAAAAAAGAGGTTAAAAGAATAACAAATGATGTAGAGGTTACAAGGGGAGAAACTTGCTATGTTTAGCAGGATTTTTATGTCATAGGTAATGGTAAAATGTACTGTGCCAGTGGACAAAACTATTACAAGCCAATACTTGGTGTAATGGAATGGGAAATATTTAAAAAGAATGAAATGAAAATAAGGTTTATGAAGACCTCACAACCCTATCATTATTGCACAAGACATACAAAGCTCTATTATTCTCTGATTATTAAAGTAGAATAATGAAGCTATAGTGTCCTTCCTAGATTTACTAGGCAAAAAGAAATACCTCTCTGAGATTTGCCCTGGGAAACATAAAGACAACTATGACTACCCTTAACCCTCATTTTGCTCTGAGATATCCAAAGGAATAGACCGGAGCAGAACCAAAACCATTCTAAACATCCCCCTGATAAAGGGTACTTATGAGTTCTTTAGCGAGATAAGACAGACTGTTTAAGACCCAACATCTAAACTTTACATTCCTCAAACAAGAACTATGGAAAGCTTAGGCATTCCAATTATTGAACAGAAAGATACACATAGACTGGTTTGGGACCCAGTTTTAATCTTGTGAGTGGGATGGAGGCAAAAAAGTGCTACCAGCTATTAAAGTATAAAGTTAATATAATTTTTAATGTTCAGGGATAAACTATGTATATAGCAAGGGGTAGATATGCATATATTGAAAAGAAGGGGAAAAGAAGAAAAGTTAAAAATGAACACAAAAACTCTCAGTATTGTGCAATTCACTGGTACATCTGATAGAAATGAGAAATGTCATAATCATCTAGAAAAGCACTGATATCAGTGATCGGTGGTTAACAGTCTTATTTCATCAGAAGAACATTACCTTTGGGGCATCCATTGTTTTAAAGCTACAAGTTTTCTCCTTTTTTGGCTCATTTATTTGGTTCTAAATACAAGTTAGTTCAAATAGATAATTTTTAATGGAGGAAACAATAGGATACTCACATAAAGAAAAGGCAAACAAAAAAGAGCATGCAAATAAATTTCTTCTGTCCATGAAATTTCTTCTGCCTCCAATAAATATGGAGAAGACATATACAAAAGGATAAATGAATACTTGGAACCAGACCATGAGATATATCTGGTTGAATAAAATGTTTAAAAGTTCAAAAAAAGAAGGATAGTTTCATAATGTACCAGGACATGACCTTCATTAATTATAGCCAACACACAAAAGGAAGGTGTGTGTGTGTGTGTGTGTGTGTGTGTGTGTGTGTGTGTGTGTGTGTGTAAAGGGTTGATCAGAAATGGTCAAGGAGAGTTGGGGGATACTTCTGGAAGTCCATTTCTGTTACTGAACACTTTGTTCCTCTGTGGCCTCTTGAGTTACTCTCAAGAAATAAATCCCCTTTTAATTTTTCCAATCTGCCACTGCTGCTCTTTTGTATAAGGAAGGCAGGCAGACAGACACTGGGGTATGTCTCTCACACCAGCCCAGAGCAGAACACAATAATTTCTCTTAAAAGGACTAGTTCAGGAATCAGAGATTCAGAATCGGCATGGCTACTTATTGTCAGTATTCCTTTTACAAGGGTTTCTTGAGGGTTAGGTAGTTGGCTAGAACATGCTAGATTTCTAAAAGTTACCATTATCATGGTCATTTGATCAATTTCATTATAGAGATTTAGCATATACATGTTCTTGGACTGAGAGTTATATCCCAGTAAATTCATCATAAGCTGAAAATATCATTGTTGAGAAATAATGTGTTCTGTAGAAATGGTATTACAGACAGCTAGGTTAGATATAAATGTACAAGCAGCCAAGAGAGGGACTGGCTCAGCAAGGGAGTCAGTACAAAAGACACAGAAACATCAAAGTTGCAGCTGGAGGTGAATCTGAAGTGGGGCAGGCCTCAAGGTGGAGACTGGCAGCCAAGCCTGGGAGTCTCCGTAAAGATAAACAGCAATTTGGGATTTTACTGCAATTAGCACCATGTGGCCCAGTGAGTCCAGATAGGCATCAGAGGAATGAGTGGGTGACCAGAACATCCAAACACAAACTTTCACGAAATTATAGATAAGCTAAAGTTAATGATCCTTACCATATAACCTTGTTACATCCCTTGTTTCCCTATTGGAACAATATTAACTAAGAGACTATAGTTGTAGTCCTATTGGTTGATTCTGGTTTGACCTACATTGTGACTTTGCTGTATAAAATAATCTTGATAAAAAGAATTGGTGGAACTCACTTGGGACAGATCCCTTGTATAATTCTAGGAGGTGTTTATCTTCTTAACTGTAATAAAACTATACTAACCTTCTTTGGTTTGCAAGTACATTTCTGATGTGAGACCTTAAACTTAATGCATATGATATTCACCAGTGTGGGAATTAATTTCTCTATTACAGTAGGATACAAAAACACAAAGCAACATCCCCCAAATGGTGATAATACAGTCCACTGTAGACTACTATTTTTTCTCATATTGGAGTTATGGTTTGCAGCCACTGTCCAACATCAAGACAGGATGTTGTACTGCATATCACAAGTCTGGGAAAAGATCTAATTTCAAAGGATGAATTTTACTGAATATCAATGGCTTTGTACTGTCATAAAGTTGACAATGTGTTAAGTGAAGCCATTGCAAGTTGAGTTAGTGCCAACACTAGAAAGCATGTTCTTCAATTTGAAACGTTACAGCTAGCAAGCCAGAAACAAAATAAACTATACTCTGTATTGTCAAATTAACATGTTTTTAACATAAAATGTTTTATGAAATAGAGTCTTACCCTCTGTTATGTGGATAACAGCAGCTCTGGCCTTGTAATTCAGCTGTGTTGATTATCACTTCAACTGCTTGTCTTGCAGAGCCTTCAACCTGTTGAACACTTTGGAGGCTCCTCTGCTTTTGTGGAACTCAAACAGTATCACAGGCCGACTTCCCAGGTCTCATTTATCATCTTTGACCTAAGACAGAAAAGAAGGACAGAGTCAAACTAATAAAATGGCAAAAATGTAAGATAATTTTCAGAAAAAAGTCTAGTTGGTATGTCATTCTGAAACAAGAATGAGGTGTAATCTCATTTGTGAGGCAAATGCCGTGTATATTTTCCCTCATGTTCTTATAATATGAAATAATCTCTAGGAAACAGTTATGTTATTTAGTTCATGATTCTATCATCTCCTTCAGGAAAATTAAGAGTGGAGACAAAACAGAAGGGAAATAGCAATTGTTTTGTGTATACTACTGGTCACACTCTCTCCAACAGCACACTGTTTCTCTTTGAATCCTAACATCGGTTCTTCGGTAGGACATTGTATTCTAGACAAATGTAATGTTTTTCAATGGCATTTTCTTCACAGTCTACATGCTATCTCATATTCTGCTAATACAAAATATGTTTCATCGCTTTGCTTGTTCACTTTATAAACACAGTTGCCTGGAAGAAATTTTGGCTATCTGGAAACTGCCATCTTGTGACCAGAACTAGAACTGCCACTACCTTGTCCTTAGGGTGGGAACTTCACCCTGCCAGACAGCAGCTTTTATAGGCTTCTAGAATACTCCGTGCTTAAATTCAGAGATTTTTTTGTGTATTATACAAAAAAATGGTGCCCAAACATTTTCAACTCCAATAATCTGATTGTAAAATAAAATGCTTCCTTGCTAAAAACTGAAAATATGAGAAACATAAGAAGTACAGTTTTGGAAAGCCAAAAGGATTAGTGCCTTTTTAATATTTTCTCTTACCATATGTGTATGTATGCCATTTAAAATACCTTTTTACTCTACTGAACTTCACAGTTTAAACATTTTTCCATATTAAGTAGTATTTTCAGTGTGATCCTTTAATGGATAAATTCAAATAAATTTTCTCTCAACTTTGCAGCATTCTATCTTAATCTTTTTTCTGATTGTTAGAAAATTACTATATCTATCCATCTTTATTTATTTTTAAATACAGATAGTAAAGCATGCTTCAACCACCCAAATAATTCCATCAGGTTGGATGTTACATTTTTAAGAATGTGGTTATACATATTTTATTAATAGCTTTTTTTCAGTGACATATTATGCTACTTGTTTTGAAATTTGCTTTTTTCGCCTAATACTACTTCAAAAAGATCTTTTCAATTCACTACAAGTTCATGTTTTGTCAACTTTATAAGCAGTGCACTGTTTGGAAGCATCACTTCACACACTACCTTTAAAACACTTTACAGAAATAAACGAAATTATTTTTTTAGCTCCTGTTTAAACTTAGATGATGTAGAAAAAAGTGCTTCCAGCTGACCACGGGTCTTAAGGGATGAGCTACGTGAGGACACATGCGGGCTGTAGGCAAGACTGAGTCAGCCTACCCTCTTGACCAGATCTGGGAATAATTTTGCTATCAGCAAAAGATAAGGAAGGTATCAGAGCATGTTTGTGCGTGTCTGTGACCATTTACGTATCTTAAACAAAATGGTATGCTCTTTCGGCATCATTTTTCTCTTCTAACTTTCAAAATGATCATAGCACAGAAAAATCACTCTAAAAGGATCTAAAATGCTGAATTCTAAAAATACTGAATCCAAGTAAAAAGTAGCTTGTTTAAAAATCCAGTAATTTGAACAATCAGAAACGCTGATTTTAACAAGGAATCTAATTACTCAGAGATGCTGATTGTTACCACGGTGTCTAGTCACCCCTGTAAGGTAAAACACCTCTTTATGTTAACAAGTGTTATCATTCAACAGCATATTTAAATCCCTTTCTATGGTCGTATACGTTTATATTTGTGTTTGTGCCAGTTGTTGATATATCCATATCTTTCTATCAGTATTTTGGTAGCATATACTCTGTAAATAAAATATAATAAAATCTGTAATGACAGAAACATGAACTGCCACGCAAAAATTAACATGAAAAACACGCCTCACTTAAATCTTAATTTAGAATCTGTAATCTGATCACCTATTCCCACACTGTGGACTTTAAAAAATATCAGAAGAAACAAAAATTACAGAAGATTAATTCTGCTTCAGTAAGAGCAATTCGACCAAAACCATATTCCACTCCCCCTCTCCCAGGCAACAATCTCTATTTTATTTTAGCTTAACACCAAGACCTAAAGAAGAAATTCCCAGAAAATAAGTAGCTTTAAGACAGCCATTACCTTGAAGCTTCTCGTCAGCTGCAGCCTCACGAAGTGAAATGCAGCCCCTCCCCTAAGACTGGCCAGGCGCGCTTACTTCCCAGCTGTTCGCAGAAGGCTCCGCCCCCTCAAGAGGACAGGAAAGCAGGGGTCCTTTTTCTCAATTACAGGGAAGAGAATTGGCAAGTTAAACTGCAATTCATTGAAGGAAAAAAAAGTGCATTTTTAAAGCACTTGAAAGGAGAACTGGCAACATTTGTCTTTTAATTTACATTGAAGCTGCAAGGGTCAGTGATTTCCAAGAAAAAAAAAAGGACCGCATTATCATATAAAAGAGAGCTTGTTAAGACTAGTTAAAACTGTATATATCATACAATATATAGGTTGCCTATTTGCCTGTTCTGGCACCTAATTTCTACAAATGAGTATCACTGAAGTAGCTTTTATATAGTAGTAATAAATAACAATGTAAAATGGGGGATAAACCACAAATGGATAATTCACAATATTATGGAGACTAATTCTAATTGCTTTCTTGCAATAAAGGTCATGTAGTACAACTGTAAGAACCTTTACTCTTGTACAGCTGCAAGCCTTAAAGCTACTTGCATTCCTTTGCTTCCATTTGGGGTTGTATTCCAATTAATTTTCACCATAACCAATGTTCTATAACTTACTTTTGCCTTGTACTGAAAAGCTGATTTTTTCACTTCCATTTATAACTCTATTTGTTTTATATCAAATTGTTCAGTAAAGAGGGAAGTACTCTTTATTGAGACCCTTCAAAACCTAAATACAAAATAAAAACTAAAATTGACTAAAATAAAATATTCGCCTTTCTTAATAATCAGAGATGCAACGCAAATGTGAACATTACTGAAATGGCATTCTTCTACCTAGAAGCAAAGAAATGTCACAATATGCACTTAGCAAGGGAATAAGGAAACTGATACTCACTTATCACCTATGACCACAAAGTACGGAAGAGAGTAAGATGAAATTGGAGACACTTTAACTCCAAAACATAAGAATGTGCCCTCACTCCACAGTACTCCATCAAGCCAAAGAGGATTGAAATCCTGTCTCTTCGATAGAATAAATAATGCCATTTACTTTTGGATTGTGAGAAACCTGGTTTGTGTGGCTTAATCTCATATCTGTGCTGGTGAACACATCGGAGAATTAACTACAGCCATCTTCATTAACTATTGTACTTACCCATGAACTGTCTCTGCCTTTTGCATACCAAAAACAAATTTTAAAATATTGTGGTACACTATTGAGTGTGTACTGACCATATCTGGTGATAGTTTTCAGTTGGCTTTAGAACAGTCATGATAAATCTGTTTTGTTTGTATTTTTCTGGTAGTAATTTCTTTTCAGATATGCCTTTTCCTGGACAGACACTGGCAATCATTTTTCACACAGTGAAAAGCCCATTTCATTCCGCTGTTATTAACAACTGACTATTCCTTGTGATTAGTTGTCTGCACCTGATAATTAGATATGGGAGATTATATTTATATCTTCTTTTGATGAGTTTTTTAATTAAAAAAATAAGAAATTCACCCTGAAATTTAGATCTTTATTGTCTTTAACTTCTAGGTGTTACTTCTCAAGAAGTTCTAAAACTTTTCCACTGCTGAAGGATAATTCTAAAGTTTAGGTCTCTTAAGATAATGTACCAAATTTAAAACAAAATTTTTAAAATTTTTACACAACCCCATGTCTTATCACAAAGAAGAAGAAAACACATATCTTGCCATATGCTAACTATTCAGATTACAGGAGCAGTTGCACTATGATACAGCTCTTTCTATAATTAACTAATTAAAAAAATGACCTGCATTGGGGACTCTTCTTTAGAAGAGAATATCATATTTCCAGATGTTTATAAAAGCAGGGCGAGGCTGTATTAAAATTATTCTGTGACCACTCATCAAATTGTGCGCGCGCACGTGCGCGCGCGCGCGAGTGTGTGTGTGTGTGTGTAACATGGATTTCTACTGCTTGGGTCCAGTGTCTAGCCTATCAGAGGTTTTTTTTTTTTTTTTTTTTTTTGTGGAACTAGGGATTGAACTCAGGCCCTTGCGCTTGCCAGGGAAGCACTTATTCTACTCAGCCATCTTCTCAGTCCCCCATCAAAGTTTTTCATGAAGGAATTTTAACAAGTTTATGGATTTGAGTTTTGTGAGTCCTGTGAGCAGGAACTCAGTTGTGAGTTTGAAACTGCTGGTTTATCTGTACAAAGAACTTAATCTGTAGCAACTATTTAAGTTATATTTCCATATCTTAGCATAGTTAATAAAATCTCATAGGTAATGTTTCCCTGTGAAATTAATTTATGATGTACAAATATCAATTATTAAAGTACATTTGATGATGCAGTCATAAAAATTGTAGATACTTTGTTAGAAAAGTCGTGTTTTTGAAGAAGAATGAATTTATGGCCTCAGTGTTAATAAATGGTCCTCACTTATGGTAACCTCTTTTTATCCCTCTGAAATTTCACAATGCAGGTTCAGGTAGTGATAACTGGATTAGATTAAAATATGGCATAAAGAAAAGGGATTGGATAAAAGATTTGTTCTGCTAGTAGAAAGAAAATGGAATGGCAATGAGAATGGACACAAGATCCAAGGAAGAAAAATAGATTCAGACAGAAGGGGTTAAGCCATAGCTGGAACTTCAGGTGGATACACAAATAGCCTTTTCCATCATTTTCTTGTAGTAGCTTCAAATAAGATACTCAAAATGAGAATCTGTAAGTTTTAATTATAAGCATTATGGATACAGAAAAGGGATCAAAATGAATTGTACCCCAATTTTTCAATATTTAAAATGATGTAACTGCATGATTGGAGAGTAGCTCATTGGTGGAACACTCACCTAACATGTGCAAAGCCCTGGGATTGAATCCTGAGGGCAAAAATTATTTAAATGAAAAAAAATGATTTGACTACAAAGCAGAAATCAAAATAAATTAATCCTTTAAGATTGAAACATAGCTTTCAATGTGAAAATGACAAGATTCTTAGTTTCTATCATGTGGATCATGGTGTATCTAGGCCTGACATCCAACTGTCTTCACTCAAGACTAAGAATGGCTCCTTGACAAGTTGTGAGATATAACAGTAAAACTGTGAGTGTCAGCCATAAGTTTTTTCATAGTTGTTTAAAGTATGAGATTTTTAAAATGAGAAGTTGTGACTGTGAATTACAAATGCTATAGCTACAGGACACAGAGCAACTTGAATTGTACCAAAATTTCCTAAATGAGCATGTTATTAACATAAATAGTTTTTAGGGGCTGACAAGATAACTCAGTGTTCTAAAGCACCTGCTTAGGCAAGTTTAGGCAAAGCGCAGGGACCATGGTTCAATCTCTGGCACCAAATGCTGCCCCAGCCCCACCAGTTCTGATCTGGCCACAAAACAAACAAAAAAACAATAAATAGTTTTTAATTTAAAATGCTATAGCTATCAAAAAAGAAACCAAGTTAATTATCCTTCAAGATCTCAATATGCTTTTAATGTGAAATGTTTGATGCATTACCCTCTGCTATGTGTACTGCAGTGTTCCTGGCCCTGTGAGCCAGCTACCCTAATTCTCCCTCTGACTGCTGGCCATTTCTGCGGCTGCACTACCTTTCTGGGGCTCACCTGGGATAACAGGCAGGCAATCAGGTCTCATAGACCTCTGAATATTAAGCGAGGCTGTGGAAAAAGAAGGAATCAAATCACATAATTAAAAATGTAAAGAAATTTCCTTACCAAGACACTACCAGGCATATTATTCTGAAAAATTGTAATGAGGTGAAATCTCACCTGTGATGTAGATATCATGTTTATTTTCCATCACATTCTTGTAATATAAAATGCTCTCTGGTATTTATATATGCTATTTGGTTCATTTTGAAATCATCTTTCTCAGGGAAATTATTAGGTGGGTAGACGAAAGAAGAAAAGTAGGATTTGCTTTGTCTCTTCTGTAAGTCAAATTCTGGGTAGCATTTAATAGTTTGCAAGTGATTCCTGCCATCAGTCCTCATTTGGAGTTTTTTTCCCTTATAAATGTTCAGTCTTTTAAGAATTCTTTTCAATCATACCCTACATGCTCTCTCACAGTTGGCTAATACAAAATACATCAAATTGCTTTGTTCACTTTGTAAAAATGGTTGCCTGGAGAAAATTTTTGAAATCTGGTAAGCGCCATCTTGTGATCAAAATCAGAACTACAAACACTCAAATCCTTACAGGAAATCGTGGGAACTAGTCATCAAGGACATAGTAGCCCCAAAAGCTACAACTTTTGTTGTATAGATCTTGCTTTATCTTGGTCTTAACCAACCATCAGAAAAGTATGAAAACGAAGTATAAGAAGTAAAGTCAAAAAAAGAAAGAAAAAAAAAAAGAAGAAGTAAAACCATGGTGTTATGTTGAGCTGTAGGGGACTCTTGTCAACAATTTCTAACACTGCCAGTCAAGAGGAAGATCCAATACTATTATGGACTACTGGACTCTTTTTGAATATTTTGCTGAGTTTACACACCTGTAATATTTAAATGATGGAACTTAACAAAAAAGGGAATGTCCATTTTGTATCCGTGTATTCAAAGTGGTTAGGATAGATATATAGTTACATTCTCTTAATGAATAGAGGGTTTTGTTCTAATGGTGTTTGTAAATAGGATATCTTGTCTGCATCTTATATAGCAAATAACCACTAGGAAGAGAGTATTCAATGTGTTAATTATTGGAACTGTCCTACCAATTTGATTTGAAACTCTCTCATTGCTATTTGTTCCTCAATAAAATTATGGAAAAAAAATATAAACCAAAAAAAAAGAACATAGTAGCCCATTTTGTATCTGTATACACAAAATAGTTAGGATAGATATACATCTACTTTCCTCTTAATTCAATGAGAAGAAAGATTTGTACTAATAGTGTTTGTATAGGATATCATGTCTGCATCTTGTACTATGGATAACCACTAAGAAGACAACAATATGCAATGTATTAATTATTGAAACTGTCCTGTTAATTGGTTTTGAAACTGTCTCATTGCTATTTTTTCTCAATATAATTAGTAAAAAAGGATTGAAAGTTGGAAAAAAAGACCATAGTAGCCTTCTCAAACTTGCAATTTTTTCATTCTCAGCTTAAGAGGTGTGTAGGTGAGCTACACAAAAAAAAAAAAAAAAAACAGGAACAGAAAATCCTCATTGTAATCTTTGTAATTATAATATCTCTCTTGCATACTGTCTTACTTCTTTTGAATTTCCAATGATGAAATCAAATGTCAATAAAGGTTGAAATATTATGATTTGTTCTCTGTATTTTTCCTGCAAACAATATATTTGATCATTTGTGCAAAATAAAAAGCATTTTCATAACATCTTTTGTGAATTGCTTTGCATTTTAAAACATATCTAAACTTTTATCGCATTTTCTCATAATGAGAATAATGCAACCTTGTTATTTTAAAATGGAAATATGTAACACATGAAAGGTCAAAATTTTCTTTCTCTCCAACCTCACTGATATTTAAAAATTAAAAAGTAGCACATACACTTGCATATAATAATGCACACACACATTTTTTGGTAAAAGATGCCATTTCATGATGTCAGTCCTCTGGCAATTTGCTTATTTTTAGACTATACTACAGATTCTTTTCTTTCCATTTTCAGTTCCTCCTTTTTACAGGTAAATAGTAATCAATATTGTAGGCTGAATGTGACTATTCTACTATTTGTTTTATCCAGAGTACAGATAAGTGTCTTCTGCTTGAACTAATGTCTGGACTGTTTAATTAATTTCCAGAAAAGCACAAACATCTAAATAACCAGTCTCTTAAATCTAAAAACAAAATCAAACTTCCACTAAAGACAATGAAATATGAGTATCTGTTCAAGTGTCTGTGACAAAATAAATGACTCCCCTTTCAGTTGCATTGTTTCTAAAAGAATCTTAAAAGTACACAGAGTCTATCACATTATCAGTACTCGCACTCCTGAGTCTTTTATTACTTATATTTGAGCCTAATTCTTTGATTTTTTTCTTTCACAATATATATAGGTTTGACTATATTATTTGAAATTACTGATTGTGTTGCATATTTGACATCCTTTTATGTTTATATATGTTTGCACCATTTTGGAAGAGGTAGCTTCCTCACACACAATTTTAAAATTTCACTTCAGTTATTTTTATGTTATGTACGCAAAGTGACTTATGGAAGAAAGTAGAAAATTGCTCCCTCTTCTGCTTGGCATTCTATAGTAGTACAAACGCTTTATTACTAGAAATACCTGTTGTTTGTGACATTAAGAAATGTCCTTTATTTTTATGATCTCATGGATATTTTTATTATAGTACAAAAGGAACACACAGTTCTCCCGCTAGAGATATAACGATCACATTTTGTACATCATTAAAAAGCAATTCATTTAAAATATTGGGTATAATTTGACAAATAACCAAACTCTTTGTTCTCAGAGTTAGATGAAGCTGCGTAATTATACAATGCTTTAGACTTTTATACAAATTCTACCAAAACAGATTTGTTAGAGACACAATCAACAAATCCAAAGTGATATGAAAGTAATATCCCTAACAAGTTTTAGTTTAGTATTAGCATATCTTTTATTTCCAAATAAAAAAAAAGATTATATTTTTCCAGCCATTACTGCTTTTTGACTGAAAAATAAAATGCCCTATTCCAAAACTAGCTTTTGAAACCTCATGAAGAAACTCCCTCCTCCTGGTGTAATAGGATCACCGTTTTCCACCACTGTGATATCTGGACGAATAAAATAAATCCAGGTAAATAAATAATGCCTTCACAGAAACGAAGCACAACTGTAAAACAGCAGTCACTTCGCGCCTGTACACCAAATCCTCCAAAAGTCTGTGAAAATAACTCAGTTGGACGACATCGCCTTACCTTTGAAGCTGCTCTTCAGCTGAAACCTCCGTAAACAGTAACACAGCCCTTCCCTGTAAACTGCCCAAGCTTAACAAGCCTGGAGCTTTAAAGACAGATACTCCGCCCCCTCACCGTGATAGGCGAAGGCAGGAGGACTTTCTTGTGGGAGAAATGTCGACAAGTTAAACCAAAGCACTGTTAAAGGAAAGAAATGTAACTTTTAGAATTTTAAACGTTAATGATAAAATATATCTGTTCAATTTTTATTCAAAGCCCTAGAGTGGGGTATTATTTTGGAAGAGGAATATTAAAAAGAAAAATAAAATCTTTTTCATATAATAAAAAAATCAGCTAAACTATTTCTTACTTTTGTCCCAGTCCTGTCTTGTACTTGATTTCTGGTAAATTTAAGATTAATTGATCAAGCTCTACCAAAACAGAGAGAGAGAGAAAAAAAAACCAACCAACCAAAGAAACAAACCATGCTAAGTATCTTGATTAAAATCTCAATGAACTAGTATTTAATTTGAGGTAGAAATAATAATTTATAATTTTGAACTGAAAATTCAGACAGAATATTTTTTCCTCTCTTCTAATTTCTTATACTTTTTTCTTTTGGAAATTTCCAAGAAAGTAGTTTTTTACAGAAATAAAAAAATCTGTATGAAGGGTAGGATTTGGATGAACTAAACTGAGAAGACACCCATAATTATAGAAACACTGTTTAATGGAAGTGATTAAACAGAAACATCCCTAAAGTAGCTTCTATAGTTCAATAAGAAAGAAATGAACAATAGAGTGGGAAAAGGGGTGAAGGACATAAGCAGAAAATTCATTAATTCCTGTTACTTCTAATGCTTCCCCATGAAGAAAGCACTGCAGCTTTGAGCCTGTCTACATATTCTTCATTAGACAGACAAGATTTTCTACATTTTGGCTACTATGAGTAGGAATGCTATGAATATAAGATGCAGATACTTGTTTGAGACAGAGTTCTTGTTTTCTTTGGGTGTGTACTCACAAGTGATATTGCTGGATCGTATGATAATTTACTTTGAAGTTTGGAAGGAACCTTCATGCTATTTTCTAAAATGGGTATATCAATTTGTAGTCCCACCACTGATATAGAAGCATTCCCTATCCTGTACATACTTGTCAACATTTGTTATGCTTTGACTTTTACATAATAGCTGTCATAAGAAATGTGAGGTGATAGCTCAGTGTGGTTTTTATTTACATTTCTCTGATGATTAGTGATTTTGAGCATCTTTCTCTATTTTAAAACAAATTTGTTTTTTGCTATGAATTTTATTATTTTTGGCATTACTCCCTTATAAATATCTGGTTTGCAAATGCTTTCTCCTATCTTTGAGTTGTCTTCATTGTATTGATTGTTTTATTGGTGTGAAGAAAGTTTTTGGGTCAAATTCATCCCACTTGTGCATTTATATGACTTTTTTATTTTTTAAAGAGAATAAAAGATATCATAAAGTCACATTAGAAACGATACTGAATTTTATTAAATAAAATGATAGGAATTTAACAGTGGTTGTTATATTGTATGTCATTGTCTTCATATTAGCTGTTCAGATTACCAGATATGAGCATGCAAAATTAGTCAAAAATTATAAAAAATTAAAGAGGAGAGAGAAAAAAAATGAGTATGAAATTGTCCTTTCGATAGACCAGCAGAAATCAGAAGTATTATTATCCAAGCAAGCATGTGTATATACATATATATTTCTTTTCTTCTTCCATTTATGTGACTTTTAATGGAAGTTTCTTTTACAACCTCTGACATAAGTTTAAAATTGTAATTTCTATATCTATTCTGAAATTCTGTAAAGGTAATTTCTGTTCCAGAGCTTGCACAAAATTGCCAAACTGCTTTTGCTAGCATCAGGAATGTAAAACATAGTTTACTGAGAGATAGCAACTGCAGGAACAGAGAGCTGATAAAGTTTCTTTTAAAAAAAATTATGAGACCTTGAGAAACATTGTTATTTAGACTAAAGTAAATCTCTGAGGAGTTGCTTTTATTTTTGTTTCTATCATTTTTGTTTTCTTTAGTATTAAAATGCTTTACAAACCAATGATCATAAACAACCAAAATATAAAATATTGAAGAAGTAAAGCCACGCTGCTATGTTGAGCTGTGGGGGACTCAGGTCAACAATTTCTGACATTGCCAGTCAAGTGGAAGACCCAATACTATTATGGGCTACTGGACTCTTTTAGAATATTTTGCTGAGTTTACACACCTATAATATTCAAAT